TATATATATATATATATATATATATATATATATATATATATATATATATATATATATATATATATATATATATATAATTTAATACATAATTTCCTTTATAAAAGCATAAACCATGGCTGAAATGCTGTTGGTGTTGTTCGACCTCTCTAGCCACAGAGGGCACTGTATTCACACGTTTCAACTTCATTTACGACACCAATGCCGTAAACAGCTGGGGAACTGCATGCAACTGCGAACTAATCAGCTACACTTTTACATAGTTTAAACTTTAACGTTTTGAAATATTTGGTCGCACACATGACCAAACGGACAGCAGAAAATGTTTTGTCGCCCGAAGTCCCTCACAAAAGATGTTTTCGTTCTGTCTCCAACAAACCGGTCGGAGGTGTGAACGTGACCCAAAACGCCTCGTTATTAACATCAGATGAACAGCGATGCAGGAAAAGACCGAACTCTGTCGAAGACCAGCTGGACACAGATAACTTACCGAGAAAACTGGCCGCAAGCAGGGCTAATTCAGTGCTAGCTGAGCAGAACATATCCCAGTCTAGAACATTCGAGGATGATGATGATGCTGGAAGACCTGCGACGCGACGGTCATCACGCGCGCTTCAACCTGAGTCAAGCAAACAGCCAGACGAACAAAATAAACACACCGCAGGAGACAAGGTAAACTTTTACACAAATGTGCTAAAACCTGTATTAATTTGTGGTTACCTGAAGAACAATGTGCAATGATGATTGATGAACATGAGGTGGCGGTGCACCACTATAATAATATCCAGATTCAGGTAAACTTAGTTTTATATTCACACATTCGGGCTTTCTCCTTAATATAGTAGTTTCAGAAGTATTAGTATATAGTAGTAATATAGTATTAATATAGTTTCAAAACTATTATTTTGAAATAGTTGAAAAACAATTGAAATTTCTAAATAGTGCAATCATATAATCAGCCAATGCTTATTAAAGTACAACAGTTCACAGTCGAATAAATAGAGCTAACTTAATGTTGTTTTGAAGGCATGTGATATCAGATAATTCAAAGTAAGATGGTTACCACGGTAAACAATGTAGAGAGCATGTCACAAGTTGTCCCTCATGAATATACATCTACATATAGTACAGTAGGCATACAGGTTGTGTTAATGGAATTTGACTGTAATGTAAACATGTTTTATAGCTTACCACTAGTCATCTATACTATAAGCACCTGTTTACTAACTGGTTGGGAAAAACATCAATGCCTTGGTGTTAACCTGAACACCCTTAAAAAAAACTAGAACTCTAAAAACACTAGCTCCAACCCAATTAACAAGAGTAGTAGCAAACCAGGAGATCCTAACAGACCCTAGTGCCTGTTTCTCTGTGCATGACTACCCATACTCCATTACTAAATCTGACCTCCGAAGACTACGTCAAATAGTTCAGACTGCTGAGTGAATCGTTGGTACAACTCTCCCTACTCTCCAAGAACTGTACTTGTCCAGAGCGAGCAGAAAGTCTGTCAAAATCACTCTGGACCCCTCACACCCATCATACTGCCTCTTTGAACTTTTACCTTCTGGTCGACGCTACAGAGCGCTATGCGACAGAACAGCCTGACACAGAAACAGTTTCTTTCCTCAGGCAATCCATCTTATGAACACTTTATGATAATAATTGTGAAACAAACATCACTACTTGTTACACACTTTTTATACACATACACTTATTAAACAAAACACTTTGTGTTTATGTGCACAGTTTGCACATAAAAGTTGCACATATAACTTTGTATATGGTCAATTTGTAAATTTGGATTCACTACTTCTATTTTTAAAATATATAATCTGTTTTTGTCCTGTCTCTGTAAGTCTGTTGCACTGTAGAAGCTCTGTCACAAAAACAAATTCCTTGTATGTGTAAGCATAGCTGGCAATAAAGCTCCTTCTGATTCTGATGCCCTTTTTCACCAGTGCTGGTTCTGGAAGCTTTTTTGGGATTTGGGATTTAAAAAAAAGTCTTAATAATGTAAAGCATTAGATTATGAGTAATAAATCAATCTACTGTAAATCAAACTACTTGGTGAATAATAAGATTACAAACTTTGACAAAAAATACAAAAAAAAAAATGAAATCAAAGGGGCTTTAATGAACTACAATTACACGGTCACATTAAAGATTGAGAAAGATAGAAAAACTCTTGGCACTTTCTGACTTCAGGTTACTTTTATTCAAGCAGCAATTTTCTTTTCTGACTGAAAATAAATGACAGGATTTTCCCAAAATAAAATAAAATAAAATTATGTAAGTTGTCAAAATGTAAGTTTAAGATTGATTTTTTCATGTTTGAATTAATTTGTTACTTTTCTTTTGACAAACATAACAGAATTTATAGGCAATTTATTTATTTTATTGGGTAAATATTGGATTTACAAATGTCAATTTTCTTCATCGTAACCTAATTTGCAGAATTTTCTTTGTGACTTAAATTGTTTAATTACTACTTTACAAAATTTTTCCAGCAAAAAAAGTGTAAAAAATTAACATTTTTAAGGACTTTGTAAAAATTATTTAATTTGATAATTGTGCTTCTGTACCCTTTTTTATTTTTGTATTATTAATTTTTTTATTTATATATTTTTCTTTGTTTATTATTTTACTTTATGACACCCATTGTTATGCTTAATATGATTGTATTGTTAAAACATAAAAAAGTTGGAATGTCCTTGAGGGCAGCATAAGTGTTTAGAACAGTCATTGCACCACCTTTCATTCTGTCATTGTTTCTGTCTGACCTTATATGTTTTTGTCTAAATTAGTGTTTATCTTCTAGACATCACCCTAGTTGGTGCAGGTTTTTGCTGTATTGAATGCTTTGGATATTCAGCTTTGCTTCCTTGTGTTTCTCTTTAGGTGATGCACTTAGACGAGGACCTCTCTTCATTCAATTCCTTTCAGTTCTGGCGGGTTCCTCTGCCCGAGCTGGATCTGTCTCTCCTGGAGGGTGAACCCTGCTCGGAGACAATGGAAACCTGAGGACATCGCCAGCGCACAAAAAGCAAGTTCGGTCTTGTAGAGTAGTTGTTCTAGCTTCTGCCAAATTACCTGACTGGACATGATGAGACGATACCCCCTGATCTTCACCAGATGAACTTCTGAACAAAGCCCTGTGCTGTGTACAGTGTGGAGGCCTGCAGCAGACGCTTTCCTTCTGCTGGGAACACATGATGGTCACATGACCTCGTATTCATCTGCAGCAGTGGTCAAGTGTTCGAAAATGTGAACGCGTAATATACTGCATATTGGAATGATCATGTCTGTCAGTAGCTGTAAAGGGGATGCACAAACTTTCTTTTTCTTGGACTGAGCCACATTTCTTTAAGCACTGTTGATGGTGTTCATGTAATGTAATGTAATGTAATGTGTATTTATATATTAAGTTCAGTAGGTATTTACACTTTAAATCTTTAGTTAATACTTTATTTTGTAAACCATAGGGCATTGTTTCTTTCCACATCATGTGGCACTTTGTAAGAGTTTGTATGTTCCTGTGAACAGTGTTTTAATGGCTGTATTTTTGAAATTGCACAGCAGCAATAAAAGGTCTTTTTTATATGCGATATTTGCTCACGTTGTCTTTTGGTGACCTGTCTGATTTTACGATTCTTCTTTTCAGGTTAGTTTGTCATGCAGTTTATGATTGCTTTTACGGTTGGACTGTTGATTTCTTTCTTCATCCAGAGGACATGAAGCATTCCTGTCTGCAACTTGCTTTGTCAGGTGACACAGACCTTTGATCTAAAAGAGATTGTGAGCTGCAGACATGCCAATTTTATCAGTAGATTGCATCGCCATTGATCAGCATGCAGAGATAGTCCTGCTCATCTGCTAAGCTAAAGCAAGCATGCAAGTACTATGGTAAGCCAATTTTTGATACTTTGTGCTGCTGTTTGGATTGTTATTGTAGAATAACAGTGGAATGAACCACCAACTTATCCAACACGTTTTTACACAGTGGATACCCTTCCAGCCGCAACATATCTGTGGGAAATGTAATTGTTATTATTAAGTGAAAATATATCATAGATGTTTTCAAATAGTGTTAACATTAAGAATATGTCAGGTTTTTTTTCTTAACATTTTTTTACCTTTCATTTTATGGATTAAATGCTGAGTGAAAATTTCAAATAAAAAATTTGCTTCTTAAATGTGATCATTATATCGTTTGCATGCCCTACATGTTTAAATGAGGGCAACTGCATGTTTCTAAAAAAAAAAAAAAAAAAAAAAAAAAAATTAGCCATTAGCTACACATTAGCCTGATTTCCTATATTAGATAAGATTAACAACAGCAGCTTGTCATCTTGATGCGCCTGTGTAGCTCGGGAAGATTAATCTAAGGTGCTATAACAATGAGAAAAGTTTGGCATAAAATTAATATCTCGCTTTTGCCTATTTATTTATTTTGTTTATTTATTTTTTAAATGATTACTGGCTTGATCATATGAGCAAATAACCTTAACCCTATTGGCAATTCTATTATTTGCTTCTTATTTAGGCACGGGACAATAACTGTTTTCAAGGTATACTGTGGTTTGGAAAAGTCACAAGTTTTAAAACCGCCAACATTTACTGTTATATCATTCCTACGATATATGTTTTTTAGCACAATAGTATCTCCTGCAGAAAAGATAGGCCTATCTAAAGATGCCGTTTTTAAATTGTAAAGAAATCTGTGTTTTTGAAGCTAATGAAGACAGCAGAAGTCAATTGAATTCAATTAAAAAGTAAGTTTGCATTGTTTAGCCTGACATGTTTACTGTTCCAAAATATTTTTAAATGTTTCCAAAAATAAAATGTATATCGTAAAAATATTGTGTTCAAAGGGGAAAGGGTTTTTGTTTTTTACCCAGACAAATAACAATACAGTGAAACCGCGATATATGTTATACCAGCCAATGCCTATTCTTATTATGTGGCAATGCTCATTTTCATAACTAAACACTGACTGTTTGTAAGTGGATCTTGTGACTGAGAAGTCTGTCCTGAAGTCTGTCTTCCAGTTCTTTGCGTTCCTCCGCTATCTTACCTGCCGGCGTTGCGTTTGTCATTTATGCACTGGTTAAAGCCAGCCGCAAAACAATAAACAAAAAGAAACAAAATCTTATCCATTTCATGACATATGAAAAGCATTTCAAAATTTATACTGGAAGCAAGTCAAGAATTAAGTTGTTTTGTTATGCAACTACAATTGGTCTCTCTTGAATAAGCACGACCTTCCCAGAAGTTCGCAGTTAAAGCTTCAGTTGCGTGTCCACACTCGACACTTTATAGTCAGTGGTAAAGACCACCCCCTTCCCAGCACATCGCATCTCTTCAATTATGCGTGTATCGAGCAGGAATACGAGTAACATTTCGCGGGATTTATGGAAAGCATGACTGGGAAAACGAGACTGTCACACAGGGAAACAAAGAGCTACGAAGAGCGTGTATGCTAAGTAAATAACTGTTAGCTGTGAGCTGTCTGAAACTAAAAGTTATGTCCTACAGGGTTTTTCTTTAAAGCATGTTAAAACTTGTCTCACCCTTCATTCCACACAGGACTGTTGTTTTTTTTGCATGCGTACCTACAGACTACAGTACTTTGCGATTTATTTTCTTGAAAGTGTACGGATCTAATGCGGCTCATCATCAGGTTGTACAGTAGTGAAAGTAGGCTACTGTATGTTTCAGACTCTGTTTTGGTGCGGACGCCCTCCACCCTTTTGTTAGTGCTTCATTTCTTCGGCTAGATGGCGGTATTTTCGGCTAGAAATTTAGTTGATCATAATTTTACCTAATAATTCCCGGAAAAGGATGTATAGACGTGACTTTCCAAACTCACGTTAAACCATTGTTGTTTTCCTTCTGCAAGGCTTGAGTGTACTCCTGGCTGGAAGTGTTTATGACTGACTCACTCATCTGTCAAGGAGATTTGAGGAGACATGGTATGTTGAAGTTTGCACACACAACACAACAAACATCACATTAAAAACAAGCAAACTTTTAACTAGCTACTGTTATATATATATTGTAGAATATTTATTAAGGCCCATTTGATTTATGCATCTTGTACTTTTAATTTTTTTGTTTTACACCAGAATAATCTTTTATTATTATATATTTTTCTTTATATATATTTTTTTATTTCACTTTATTTTTCTTTGTTTTTATTTTAATAGGCTTCAACGTATTATATTAGTTGCCAAAGAAACATTTTTAATCTAGTGTTTTTTTTTATATTAATTCAAACATTCAGGAAACCACTATTATTTTAATCATTTACTAAATATATTCACTTACTATTATAAGTAACTATTATAAATATTGTTATACCTAGAAATGTGGCTCATAATAGTATGTTTATAGTATGCCAAACATCTCTATTTCTTTTAGTCTAGATGCACTTGGATCCAGGCCACCTTTTGCAAGCGAGAATGTGTCAGATTTCTGCCAGCCTCACGTGATCATCACAGGTGTGCTTAATAATCTTGGTCGTCATATCTGTGTATTATCTTTTAGCAGTAATAATGTGAGTTAATCAGCTGCAGTCAAGGTTGCATATTTTGCGTTTAAAGAGCATTATAAATGTCAGCTTTTACTGTTTTGCAGGTGTTATCCAGTGTGTCAAGTGTGCCAAAGCTTAGTAAGGTATTCTTTACTTTGATCATCAGTATCTGCATGCGCTAATTTATTTCCATGCAGATTTTTTTTAAGGTGCCTGAAGTCATGGAAATGCATTAAGTATTTTATGGAGTGTTGCCATATTTCATATAAATGATTTATTAGTGCATATATATATATATATATATATATATATATGTGTATATATGTATATATGTATATATATATGTATATATATATGTATATATGTATATATATATGTATATATATATATATATATATATATATATATATATATATATATATATATATATATATATATATATATATATATATATATATATATATATATATATATATATATATATATATATATATATATATATATATATATATATATATATATATATATATATATATATATATATATATATATATATATATATATATATATATATATATATATATATATATATATATATATAATCTGCTTAAATCTGTGAGGGTTAAATTGGGTTTCAGCTGGAACAGGCGCTGATTGAGTGAAATATTCTCTGTACCAATTGTCAGGGTTCATACACATATTTCTTTACTACTAAAATTCAATGACTTTTCCAGGACTTTCAAGTAAATTCTTATGACCTAATGTTTCATGTATTGTGTATGTGTACATTGTAAATCATAAGAAAAACATTGCACCTTCATTACAGGTTGTCATAAAACATGCAACAATCTATTTAGTTTGAATGAATATTGATATCTATGTAAAATGTATTTAGATAAT